GATATCCACACCTAATTTTTGGCCATGCGTTCTGATGCTCCTGACACTTTTTTATATGGCAGAAAATGCCAAAGAGTTGGCGGCTCTCTCGCGTTTATTCTTTATTGGCGTGTACAGAAGCAGCGGCTGATGACGTTTTTGGATAGCTTTTACTTGCCAATTGGCGCCAGAGATGCATCCCGTTTACAGATTCATCGGCGGAGTTTGCTCGAGCGAGCTCATTTAAATGTACAGATGAAATACACGCCAGTGAATTACCTCTTTGCTGACGCCGTTAATTCAACTTGCTTTTATAAACAGACATAATTTTAGTTTAACTAACTAACAGGTCATGGGACATCTTTTTATTTGTTACTCCAAAATAGCCGCGAAAATCTGCAGCTATACTACTACTTTAGTAAACGAATTATTTTTTACCGTCACTTCTTCTTGTGAAATGATGAACCGGTGGACGTCTGTACACATGAGGGATGTTTTCACACAATGCCAACCGCTACGTGCAAATCCCTCTGACACGGTCTGGCGATCGTAACAGGGTTTAAAGGGTATGAGAAGGGTAAAATGAGGTTGACGCTATGCTACTGGCCATTGACAAGCATCAGCATAGATAGACCGTTTATGGGGCTTCCCTATAGTTTAAATTAACTACTGCCTCGAATACCCTCTCTTCAAGGTATCTATTTGCAAATCCAACAACTTAATATTCAATTTTTAGACCTAGGAAACATTTTCTCCCACGGCCTGTAGTGACAGTGTCCGGAGTTATGCTTTCCACATCCAGGCGCCTAGAGCCAAGAATCTGGCTGATTTAAACAACCTATGCCCTCTTTTGTAGGTTGGTTTGTGCCGTCACTTACGAATGGTTCGTTGGTTTGATGACATCGGCTCCGAATACTTCTTTCCAAGATGTTATCTTCTGTCGGCTAATGAGGAAAAGAGAGCTTTCATCGGTGAGTTCCGACCTGAATCCTCTGTTAGTCTTGTTAGAGGTGATAATAAGCAATTCTGTTGTAAACCTATCTGAAAAGTATGAGGCCATCTTGTCTGGTTTGCTTTGAGTTAACATAGTTGGACTTCAGCAGACTGTCGT